TGTTTCTCATTAAATTTTAATAGTTTTTGGGCAAGATCAACTTTAATCGAAGTTACTTCTAACAATGTATTCAATTTGCGGCTAGCTTCTTTGTGGATCAAGGGGCTGAGCACTCTCATATCAGTCCATATAAAAAATTATATTTTTAATTTCTATATTTGTTTACATAATGTATTTAAGCTCTTCATACTTTTTTAAGTGGAAAAGGTGTGGTTGCTTGTTATCTTCAAAATGAAATGCTTTCGATATAAATGCGTTTAACGATAAAAAAATAAATGGGTTGTTTACTAAATGCGTTTATCTCGAAAACAATTCATTTTATCTGTAACAAACACGTACCCCATTTTCATTTAAATGGATATGAATATGTTAAATGTAAAAAAAGTTAAGTTAATTTAAGGTAGTGAAAAATCAACTTTGAAAAAATAAATGCATTTGTCTCACACGTACTGACATTTTAAGACTTTGTAAATATATTTTGTTGAAAAGCTGAAAACTTTTTAAAATTATATACAGGGTGTTTGTAAATAAGTGCGAAATATTTGAGGGGATGGTTGCCGAAGTTATTTTGTGAAAAAAGTTCATATAAACGTAGGTCCAAATATTCTTCGTTTCCGAGATACAAAGTGTTCAAATTTTAAATTTTTATTTGTTTTTATTAATTATTTCAAAGAGTTTTAAAGATATTGACTCGAAATTTGATGGTTGAATTTTATTTAGAAATATTGACAACGACCTACTAGATAATGTATCAATAGAAATTAAAAATACACTGAAAGAAATGAGCTTATTAAATTTTATAACAAATATACAACTTTTATTAAAAAAATCTCTCATATCCACACTCATTATTCAATGAGTTTAACTGGAAGGTGCTTAATACACCTTATGCATCTATGAAATAAAGGTTATAATGAATTACTTATACATTATTAGGTGTTATAGATTTTATGTTCCAATTGTATAGTAGCGAAGATTTGTTGTATAAGGACCAGTATCCGAATTTGTATATAACAATTATATTAACAGAATTATTCGTTCTTATACTGAATATGTTTTCGTTTCTATCGTGTAAAACGCGTCTTATAATGGTTAAGTGATCGTCACCTCTCGGTGCATAATCGGTTATGATCGTTGTTAAGTTATATTCATAGTCTTGTAATAATAATCATATGTCAGACCCGAGAGCGAAGTGCGCCGACTCAATAAGAAACCTGGCTATTCCAGCCGCTGATTTAGGGTTCGCCGCACGAGCTCATCCCTTCTAAGATTTCAGTAGCATGCTATGCATGAAGCAGAACGGTACTCAACTATCTTATACAGTCCACTTTTATTGTCCATACATGTTCAATCATTGTCAAAATAAACACACAAAACCACAACGTCTTTATTATCTTTACTCAAGAAGAGAAAATACAACAATCGTAAAATTTCCGACAGTCCGCTGTGCATCGACTTACACACGTCTAGTTTGATGAAAATGGACAGTATATGCACATGTTTTGTGGGATACATGATCATATCGCGTTGTGTGAAATGGAAAATTATTATGTAAGTATCTAACTGTTTTATGGCTTGTAATTGTTTTGTTTTTTCAAATGTAAATCTTGTCTAAATCTTAAAAATTATTATTTTGTAGGTCCTATTAGAAATCGCTGATGTTAAGTTTTACATAAGATGGAGGAACAGAAGGTTAACGGTGACAAAGAAAAGCATGGGTATAAAGTCAATCAACCAGAGGAAATAAAATTATATGGAAAGAAGCTCAACCTTTCTGGGGATGCTTCATTCTTAAGGTGGAAGAGTTATAGTGCAAATTCTCATGTAATACAAGAAAATACGGGTGCATCGTTGCTAAGAAAATAAACTGGACAGTTTTGGGAGCGATTTGTCATCATTTTTAATGCTTAAAAGTATGTTTTATGTATGTTTACATTAGAACCTTAGCTTGTAATTACAGTTATCCAATAAAATTTCTGAAAACTTAATGACATATGTTTTTAACTCATACAGAGTATACAACAGTTTAATACATTTATTATTATAAAACTTATAACCAGTACTAGATGTTCTAATAACGATATGGAACACTTTAATAACAGTTATTGCTATTATTTCGTAAAGGGTATAAAAAACGTTGTATACTAGTTATACAATAATTTAATAAAGAATAAGGTTTATAGTCACTATACAACTGTGCTAGCAATACGCGTTTTATATCCAATATTCACCTGTTTAACTGTCACATATATTATACAATGGTCTTATAATGGTATATAGAATTCTAATAAAGAATAAAACGCATTTCTTTCAGTGTGTACAAGCGTGTTAGCAATACGCGTTTTATATCCAATATTCACCTGTTTATCTATCACATATAGTATACAATGTTCTTATAATGGCATTTAGAATTTTAATAAAGAGTAAAGTGCATTTCTTTCAGTGTACACAATTTGCCATAAAATTGAAGAGACCAATTTTATCCAGAATTCATGGCAGATTTCTAAAAAAATATCAAAACCGGAAAAAGTCAGTGGCGTACCATTTTTTTTATTAAAAAAGGTTTGGCATGAACGTCACTGGTTCAAGTAGAAATATTCGGATCACACGAAAAAATGCACATTTATCCTTCCAGAGCGATTTTCAAATTTCGAGTCAATGTCTTTAAAACTCTTGAAATAATTAATAAAAATAAATAAAAAATTAAAATGTGAACACTGTAATCACTGTATCATTCGGAAACGAAGCATATTTCGACCTACGTTTATATGAATTTTTTTTCACAAAATAACTTCGGCAACCACCCCCTAAAATATTTCGCACTTATTTACAAACATCCTGTAGATATTTTTAATATTTTTTTAATAATTTATTGTTGTGTAGGAAAATGTATACAAAATTATATGTTATTTTCATTCAAACTTCACCCCATTTTTCACCCTCCAAAATTCCAGATTTGGGTTTAGGAACCTAAAACCAGTGGATTTTACCTTTTTATAGTCGACTAAGCTCTAAGTTGTAGGTCTCAAGGTACAAAACTGACGGAAAGAATGACCTGTTGTTTACTCTATACGAAGTTACTTTAATTTTAAGCACGCAATATGTTCCATTTAACGTGCTCATTAATATCGCGAAATCGAACAGCTTGTAGTTCGGGTTCGTTATCAGCGTCCACCGGTCAGCCAGCGCTGGGCGACCGGGCCGCCGCCCTCGGCCGCGCCGTCGGCGAAATTTTATCTCCCGTAACAAGTTGTTAATGTGTAAGGCTTGTTCCAGTCATTCCGATTAATTACCGGACCGGCTTTCCGCCGGCCCTCTCTGTATTCGTTCCATCCCGAACTCCTCGCGGCCACTAATATGACTATTCACTCGACAAATTAGTATATCGTACCGGGTTTATCTGTTTTTTATGCCCGATAAAAAAGGGCATAAAAGGCAAGGGTCGTAGGAGCAGCTGTATGATATCTTCTCCGCGTTTGGTAGAATGTTCACAAAGTTTCGTTTTACACAGTGAGCTGGTATGGGCTGTGCCAAAATTAGGCTAATTTACTTAAATTAACAATCAAAGAAGTCGATGGGTGCATTGAAGGTGGGATTTGCCCCATTTATAGACTTACCTTTTTAAAGCTACAGCGTCAAAAGCTTTGAACACGAATAGATTGTCTTTTTTCTATCTAAAAAAATATTTGCCCCTTTTATTAAATTAGTAATTAATACATAAATTAAATTAGAAATTACACTGAAAGAAAGGCGCCTTATTCTTTATTGGAATTATTATTTATGTCATTATAAAAACATTGTATCCTATATGTGACAGATAAACAGGTGAATGTTGGATATAAAACGCGTATTGCTAACACAGTTGTATATTGACTATAAACCGTATTCTTTATTAAATTATTGTATAACTAGTATACAACGTTTTTTATACCCTTTACGAAATTATAGCTATAACTATTATTAAATAATTCCATATCGTTATTAGAACATCTAGTACTAATTATAAGTTTTATAATAATAAATGTATTAAACTGTTGTATACTCTGAATGAGTTAAAAACATATGACATTAAGTTTTCAGATATTTTATTGTATAACTGTAATTACAAGCTGAAGTAAACATATAACAAACATTTAAGTATTACAAATGATGACAAATCGCTCCCAAGACTGTCCAATATTTATTTTCTTAGTAACGATGCACCCGTATTTTCTTGTATTAAATGAAAATTTGTACTAGAACTCTTCCACCTTAAGAATGGAGCATCCCCTGAAAGGTTGAGCTTCTTTTCTTCTAATTCTATTTCCTCTGGTTGATTGATCCATGCTCTTCTTTGTCACCATTCTGTTCCTCCATCTTATGTAAAGCTTAACATCAGCGGTTTCTAATAGGGCACAGAAGATAATAATTTTTAATATTTAGACGAAATTTACATTTGAAAAAACAAAACAATTACAAACCATAAAACAGTTAGAGACTTACATAATTTTCCATTTCACACAACGCGATATAATCATGTATCCCACAAAACATGTGCCTATACTGTTTATTTTCTTCAAACTAGAAGTGTAATAGTCGATGTACAGCGGACTGTCGGAAATTTTACGATCATAACCGATTATGCACCGAGAGGTGACGATCACTTAACCATTATAAGACGCGTTTTACACGTTAAAAAAGGAAACATAATCATTATGAAAATGAATAATTCTGGTAATACAATTGTTATATACAAATTCGGATACTGGTCTTTATACAACAAATCTTCCCTACTATATAATTAGAACATAATTGATTATAACCTTTATTTCATAGATACATAGGGTGTATTAAGCACCTTCCAGTTAAACTCATTGAATAATGAGTATGGAGATAACTGATTTTTTAATAAAAGTTGTATATTTGTTATAAAAGTTTTAATATGCGCTATACACATTATTCTAAAGAAACAGTTTAATAAGAGCATTCCTTTCAGTGTATGTTAATTGAAAAACACTTACCTGACATACTGAAATAGTTAAATAATGCAACTTTCAAAGAAATATCTTGTATTATCGTTGTTCTAACATCACCTTTGACAGACAACACGCAAAAAATAGCCACGATAGATAAGTACTTAACCATTTCTGCGTTTTATTTTAGGATTGCTCTTTCAAGTGGCCTAGCTGCAATTGGAATTAATATACAGTGTCTCTAAAGGGTCTTACAACGCTTCACCAAATATGGTACGGCTCAAAATAAGTCGATTTACTACACTTGTCTTAGTTCAGCTACAGGGTAACAAAGTTGAAGAAAATAAATAACATTTTCTTTAATATCTTTCGACTACTTCGAGCTAATTTCATGAAATTTTGTATCCAGAGATTATTTTGGGGTGAGAAATTCAAATTTACATGACGATTTTGTTATATCTTCTAGAGGGCGCCTCAAGCGACCATTAGGACACATTTAAACTCTCAAAACTTTTTTGTGCCACGGTGTATTTCAAAAATCTTTTCCCCGAACTTTTCAGCTTAAAAAAGGTATACCCTGTTAATATCTTTAAAGCCAACCGTTTTCAACAAAAAGGCATTTAAATTTGTAAATGTATAAAAAATTTGTTTGAAAGTTATTTTCAACTCCACTGATAAACGAAATTAGGAACAATCATTTATAAGTAAGAAATATACCCTTAAGGGAGACAGTGCAATTAAAATTTTAAAATTCGTATATTTAACAATTTTACTGCAAACAGAACTGCAGATAGAATAAAAAATATATTTTCTAAAAACAATCTATCAATCTTACACAATCTAAAAAATTTAAGATCGTTTAGATTGGCTAAACGATCTAGCAATCTAAAAAATAACTAATTATTATGACTTGTCTCAAAAGATACGTTTTCCAATGGAGTTGAAAATAACTTTTAAACTATTTTTTATGCATTTACAAATTTAAATGCCTTTTTGTTCAAAACGGTTGGCTTTAGATATATTAGCAAAGTATATCTTTTTTAAACAGAAAAGTTGGGGAAAAGATTTTTCCAGCCCAAGGTGAAATACACCGTGGCACAAAAAAGTTTTGGCAGTTTAAATGCGTCCTATGCTTGTGGCGCCCTCTAGAAGATACAACGACATCGACGATAAATTCGAATTTCTCATCTCAAAAAATCAAAATTTCCCGAAATTAGCTCGAAGTAGTCGAAAGATATAAGAAAATGTAATTTATTTTTTCAACTTTGACACGCCGTAGCTCAATTATTATCAATTTTTGGAAAAATGGACTTATTTTGAGCCGTACTATATCTGGTGGAGCCTTTAAAGACACCCCGTATATAACGGAATTATACATAAAATCACAAAATTTTCTGAAAAAAAAACTTTGTACATAATTGTAAACAAATTTAATGATTTTTTTCGAAAGTTTTTGTTAATGCTATATTTTTCAAAAACTCTAACATCCTGTTTCTCCAAAACTAAGCCGCTTCTAAAATAGGCCGCCGCGAACTTTTCTTCTTGAAATAACCACCTCTGATTGGGCTCAAGATATACGAATGAAGATAGCAAAAAAAATGTTTTAAAATAAAGATGCTTTTTTTAAATGAGAATGAATGTTTTCTTACAAATCTTCCTTCTTTGTTTATATATTCACATTCGCTAAAAATGCACAACAAAATACGCGAATGCGGATACGAATTTTGAATTTGACACAAATAGTTGGCACTTGTGAATGTAAATACGAATATCTAGAACATCCCTGTTAAAACGAATTATATCCTTTAAAGCTGTTCCTTACTTTTCATCATGAGTCATAAATAAACAATCGATTATAGACATCATCATCATAGAACACTGTTATGCTGTGCAATTTTTAGTGAGATGGTTGAAAATAAAGTTTGATATATTGTTAATCTACGTTGAATATGAGCAAAATGCTGCACAGGCATTGCGTTGATATACAGAACGTTTTCCATGAGGTTCGATCTCGTCTCGCGAAGATTTGTATATCTCGTACAACGAACCCGAGGTACAATTATGACAAAAACATGAACTAATTATCAATAGACTATTTATTTCAAACCGATAGCACCAAAGAGCTTTTAGTTAAATGTAAAGCAAGCTAATTAAATTGAAAAAGTGGGTACCTACGGTATGCAAGTTTCCACTCTCCCCAACTCTTATCGTGTTATTTCCAGGATAACACCTGCTAGCTTAACGTACTGTCCCCATAGTGCCCTAATAGCAATTAATTATGAACAGCATAAAAAATTTGAAATTTATATCTACAAAAAACGCCCCTAAATGTGTATGGTAACATTTGCAGTGGGATAGCAGTTGATATAACGTCATATAGATAGATAGTACAGTAGGACAATTTATTGTATTTTCCATTAGTCTAAATTTCAAGAACCTAACGAAATAACCACATTAGGTTTTGAATACTAGTCTTACTTTGAAGTTTCAAAACCAAAATAGACTGAAAATGATATTTGAGCGTTGTTTAATTTAAATATTAAGGAAATAGTTACGAAAATATGTAAATAATTAACAAATTATCGACAAGAGTCAAAGAAGATCATTTTTATGAAAATATGATCATATTAATAATAAAATAATAAAAAGGAAATATAAAAATGATTACAAAAACAATGAATATCTTTTATCAAAGTAGGCCTTGCACTCAAGGAAGAATTAAAAATCCTGTATATTGGAAAATAATTTTAAAATGTGAAAAACTTGATTTGCTGTACAGTTTTTAAATGATTATTTTTTATTTATACTATCAGATCTATGGATGGTCTTAAATGGAACACACTATATTATTGGCCCACCAGTGATGTGTTATTATAAGTTGAATAAACATATTTTGAATACTAGATAAGTATCTAGTAGGTACTTAACACATTACGTGCTAGTAGAGATTACAACGGTAGATCAGAGCAGCAACCTTTGAATATTTTTCGATATGAGTGGATAGATGCCTCTATGTATAGAAATTGCTATGTTTTTATTATATTTGCCTACTACTAATTCTACATCCTGAAGATTATGTTCTAATTGAATTAATTACTGACTATTAGTTTGTCACTGTCAAGGATGCCAACATGTGGTATAATTAATTGCTTCATAAAATATGATTAATTACTTCTTATTATATAACTGTTTTGCGAAAGTACGTAATTGTAATACAAAGTGACATTTTAATGTTAAATGGCAAATAAAAGTATTTTTATTTGCTATATTTTACGCATTTATTTAGTAAAACCTTGAGATAATATTTTTTACTATTCCCAGTTAAAGGAAGAGGAACAAAATCGGACAACGAAGCAAAATCGAGCATCGTTGTAGTTATAGAAAATCGTATAACAACTTTTAAAGAAACATCGAGCAAGTAATTTAATTTTGAGTAATTTTTGTGTAACCTTTAGTTAAATACTGCAATTACTACAATATACAGTGTGGACCATTTTGGTGATACATGTATTGGTATCTTGGAAACTATAATAGATAGGAAAGTAGTTAAAAGGGGAAAGTTTTAGACAGTTCTGTTCCTAACTTAATGGCGCCCGCCGCTAGCTCTTCAGGTTTTTGAGTTATTTTGAAAAAAGTAATTGTGGGGTTTTCGAAAATCGTCTGTAACTTTTTTATTTAGAGGAATTTTTAAAATCTGAAAACACTTTTTCACAAGTGTTTTTGAGGAATTCCACTGTAGGTATATTTAGATCTTCACTGCACATTTATAAGTATTCAGAAATAGATTATTATCGATACACCATTGATTAATAATTTCAATGTCACATTCTAGCAAAGTACAATCATAAGATTCAATTACCGTTAATAATTTTAAGTCACCAGTATAAAGTTGTATCGATCGACAAGGAAGGTCACGTATGATGTCATTAATAAAAATATTGAACATAAGGGGACCAAGTACAGAACCTTGAGGTGCTCCCGAAGTCGCATTGATCCCAATAGAATACAAACCAAGACAGTGCACTGACGAACGCCTGTTAAATAATTATGATACGAGTCCAAAAGCAGATAATTTGCGTAATAATATACCGTGGTCCAGTATGTCAAAAGCTTTAGAGGTATATGTGAAAATCACATCAACTTGACCTCCATCTGCATGTTTTTCAAATATCATAGAAACTAAGACGCACTAAGTAAATTAACGACTGTAGATCTACCGGGCACCATGCTGATCAACAGAAATTTGTGATTTGACATGATTAAACAAAGTCTCATGAATAACTATTTCGAATATACTACTACTTTAAGTTGTTTAACATTACATTATTATTCATCTATTTATTCTTTTCAGTACTGCAGAAATACCCAATCGAATAAAAATAGAAAATTAGAATATTTTTTTATTACTTAAGAATGTGTTTATGAATTTTGAGTTATATTTTGTGTTGTATATTATGTTTCTTTTATATTGTCATTCGAGCAAAATGTTAAGTATACAGGGTGTTACAAATTAGTAGGACAAGCAGTTAACCACATATTCTTTGGACTAAAATAATGGGACATTTCTTATGCCACTTTTCATTTCGGAGACCCATTTTCAAAATTAAAATTTTAAAAATGATTTTTATACTCCAGTGATTGTAGATATATTTATTTGAAATTTAGCACATTTTTTGAACTTGAGTCGGCACACCTTTTGTGTAATTTTAGTTTAAAATATTAAAGCGCGAACGGAGGGGAGGGGGGTTGCAGTACCTATGGACCCCCTATTTTTTATACGCCTATGCTTTCCGAATATTTTTTTAGATACAGCGGCGTTTTATTCTATTTTTTCACTCGTGTAAGATTTTTATTTGGGGCCTCGTTTATGAGATATTGTAATTTTATGGATACGCAACTGTATAACACAGCCGCACTGGGCGACTGGGCAATAAATCTCAGTGGTTGACAAATTACCTAGCAGTGCAGTGCAGCAGTGCAGAATTTGGTGTGATTCGGGTAATTTTAATGTATTATTAAGGGCACCTTCTATTAATCACTCATATTACAAATGCGAAAGGGAGAAATAAGAGGGATATTTTCTTTACTAATATTATTATAACATGGAATTTTGGAGACCTTTTGAAACGGAACAAAATGAAATTTAAAGTCAATACAATAAACTTGTTGGAGGACATAAATAATTAAAATATGTTGTTGGTCAAATGAACATA